ATGATGAGGACTGGTCCAAGATTTGGGATTCTCCTTCTCTCCCCTAGTCTCCACCAGAGAGAATTCAATTTAAAGTTCTACAGAGGGGCCTACTTGACTCCACATCGGCTGCACAGAATGAACCCTTCCCTCCCTCCAGCATGTTGGCGTTCGTCACATCAGGATGGGGAATTCTTTCATATATTCTGGTCTTGTCCGCTATTGTGTCTTATTGGCAGGAAGTGTTACAAATAATTGGAGATAGAGTGCAAATCACAGTCCCCCTTGACCCGAAGTATTGCCCGTTGGGGCTGGTGGAACCCTAAGCTCCCGCTGGGGCCAAACGTACCCTTCTTAATACTTTGTTATGTTTTGTGCTGGAAGCAGCGCTCTCCTCCTGCCAGAACTTTCTGGAAACGTTTAGTAAACCCTAATCTGCCCCTATATCAAACTAAAGGATGCCCCCGTAAATTTGACAAAATTTGGTCCTGCTGGTTAGATAAGGTCTCCACCGCCACCCATGGCGGATGATAGGCGATGATAGGAGGACTTGATTTGTTTGTAGTTATTTACTGTGTGTTTCCTTAATTGTCGAGTCCCTTCCGTGTTCTTATGGTCTCTTCATCTAACTGTACTGGGTTAAGCCTTGCATGTCCTGTACCCCCCCCCCTCCCCCCCACCTCATCCAGGGGTGCTTTCCAGTTAGTTTCTGTGTTAGATTTGTTGGGGGGCCTATGGCTCTACCCCTGCGGGGGCTCCTTTGGTTTAAAGTTTTTCATTCTGTCGTCTGTGTTTATTAAGAATAATAAAACAATTAATAAAAAAAAAAAAAAAAAAAAAAAAAGTGAACCTTTCTCATACCTCTACCCATCCATCATACCCATCCCCCTCCACCCATCCATTATACCCATCCCCCTCCACCCGAGGGCCTCTACCCCTCCATTATTATACCCATCCACCCCCCCCTCTACCCCTCCGTTATAAGCCCATCCCCCCCCCTACCCCTCCCGTTATACCCCATCCCCCCCCCCCCCTCCTCCCCTCCGTTATACCCATCCCCCTCGGGCCTCTACCCCTCCGTTATAACCCATCCCCCCTCGGGCCTCTACCCTCCGTTATACCCATCCCCCCTCGGCCTCTACCCCTCCGTTATAACCCATCCCCCCTCGGGCCTCTTCTCCTCCGTCTTATACCCATCCCCCCCGGGCCTCTTCTCCTCCGTTATATACCCATCCCCCCCAAGGCCCTCTAGCCCTCCGTTATACCCATCCCCCCGAGGACCTCTACCCCTCCGTTATACCCATCCCCCCTCGGGCCTCTACCCCTCCGTTATACCCATCCCCCCTCGGGGGCCTCTTCTCCTCCGTTATACCCATCCCCCCGCGGTCTCTTCCTCTCCTCCGTTATACCCATCCCCCCTCGGGGCCTCTTCTCCTCCGTTATACCCATCCCCCCTCGGGCCTCTTCTTCTCCGTTATACCCATCCCCCCCTCGGGCCTCTTCTCCTCCGTTATACCCATCCCCCCTCGGGCCTCTTCTCCTCCGTTATACCCATCCCCCCAAGGGCCCTCTACCCCTCCGTTATACCCATCCCCCCAAGGGCCTCTAGCCCTCCGTTATACCCATCCCCCTCTACCCATCCATTATACCCACCCCCCTCCACCCAAGGCCTCTACCCCTCCGTTATACCCATCCCCCCCCCCCCTCTTCCCTTCCGTTATAACCCATCCCCCCTCTTCCCCTCCGTTATACCCATACCCCCCCCCTCTACCCCTCCGTTATACCCATCCCCCTCCTCCCGAGGACCTCTACCCCTCCGTTATACCCATCCCCCCCTCTACCCCTCCGTTATAACCCATCCCCCCCCCTCTACCCCTCCGTTATACCCATCCCCCTCCTCCCGAGGACCTCTACCCGTCCGTTATACCCATCCCCCCTCTTCCCCTCCGTTATACCCATCCCTCCCCAGGCCACCCATCACCCACCACCAGCCCCTTCCTATGGGGTTGTTAAGTTCCAGTTGATATTCTCTCTTCAGTCTCGCCCGGATGGCCACCCGCTCCTCCTGCAGCCTCCTCTGCTCCAGGGTCTGTTCATAGTACCAGGGCCGGGTCCAACCCCTGCGGTCGGCTCGCAAGTTTGCTTTCCGGGTATCTCTCCATGACACAAGGACACTCCGGACTCCAGGCCTCACACAGCTTTATTCACAGCGGACAAACTGACAGCACCGTACCCGAGAGTGCCGCTAGATGGCGCCCGTGACACTGCGATACCACGGAGAGCTGCTAGAGGGCGCCCGAGACACTGCGATCCCACGGAGAGCTGCTAGAGGGCGCCCGTAAGACTGCGATACCACGGAGAGCTGCTAGATGGCGCCCGAGACACTGCGATACCACGGAGAGCTGCTAGATGGCGACCGAGACACTGCGATACCACGGAGAGCTGCTAGATGGCGCCCGAGCACTGCCAACAGAGATGGCGCTAAATACAGAGCGATACCACTTATAGCCAGTAGACGGCGCGCAATACAAAGCGATACCACTTTTAGCCGCTAGATGGCGCTCAATACAGAGCATCCATCCATCTATAGATTATTCCGTGGATACAATGTAACATCCAGCCATCTATAGATTATTCCGTGGATACAATGTAACATCCAGCCATCTATAGATTATTCTGTGATTACAATGTAACATCCAGCCATCTATAGATTATTCCGTGGATACAATGTAACATCCAGCCATCTATAGATTATTCTGTGATTACAATGTAACATCCAGCCATCTATAGATTATTCTGTGATTACAATGTAACATCCAGCCATCTATAGATTATTCCATGGATACAATGTAACATCCAGCCATCTATAGATTATTCCGTGGATACAATGTATCATCCAGCCATCTATAGATTATTCCATGGATACAATGTATCATCCAGCCATCTATAGATTATTCCATGGATACAATGTATCATCCAGCCATCTATAGATTATTTCCATGGATACAATGTAACATCCAGCCATCTATAGATTATTCTGTGGATACAATGTAACATCCAGCCATCTATAGATTATTCTGTGATTACAATGTAACATCCAGACATCTATAGATTATTCCATGGATACAATGTAACATCCAGCCATCTATAGATTATTCTGTGATTACAATGTAACATCCAGCCATCTATAGATTATTCCGTGGATACAATGTATCATCCAGCCATCTATAGATTTATTCCATGGATCCAATGTATCATCCAGCCATCTATAGATTATTCCATGGATACAATGTAACATCCAGCCATCTATAGATTATTCTGTGGATACAATGTAACATCCAGACATCTATAGATTATTCCATGGATACAATGTAACATCCAGACATCTATAGATTATTCCATGGATACAATGTAACATCCAGCCATCTATAGATTATTCCATGGATACAATGTAACATCCAGCCATCTATAGATTATTCCATGGATACAATGTAACATCCAGACATCTATAGATTATTCTGTGATTACAATGTAACATCCAGACATCTATAGATTATTCTGTGGATACAATGTATCATCCAGACATCTATAGATTATTCCATGGATACAATGTAACATCCAGCCATCTATAGATTATTCCTTATATTCTCTCCATGTGTCTCCACCCTCCGCGCCTCTGAAATGAACGCAGGCCAGTCCCATTGCCCTGTGCAGACGTCACACTGTGATTGGGTTGAGGATGAGACAGTTTCCCAACCAGAACGGAATCCCAGTGTCCCCGCCAAGAATATTTCTTGCGTCCATCTTGGGCCAGACAGGACGCCCTCTCCCCCTGCTCGCTGCGTCTCAGCATCTGATGTTTTCAAACACAGCACAGCGCGATTATAACAAAGTGGAAGCCACTGGGAACAACAGCCACTCAGCCACCAAGTGGTAGGCCACGTCACATGACAGGGTCAGCGCATGCTGAAGCGCACAGTGCGCAGAAGTCACCAACTGTCTGCAGAGTCAATGGCTAAAGACCTCCAAACTTGGTGTGTGGCCTTCAGATGAGCCCAAAAACAGTGCGTAGAGAGCTTCATGGAATGGGTTTCCATGGCCGAGCAGCTGCATCCAAGCCTTCCATCACCAAGTGCAATGCAAAGCGTCAGATGCCGTGGTGTAAAGCCCCCAGGAGTTGGCCCCCAGGTTTCGCACATATCTCAGGAGGGATTTTGGCCCACTCCTCTTGGAAGATCCTCTCCAAGTCATTAAGGTTTGGTGGCTGACGTTTGACAACTCGAACTTTCAGCTCCCTCCACAGATTTTCAATCGGATGAAGGTCTGGAGACTGGCTAGGCCACTCCAGGACCTTAATGTGCTTCTTCTTGAGCCGCTCCTTTGTTGCCTTGGCCGTGTGTTTTGGGTCATTGTCATGCTGGAACACCCCATCCACCACCCATTTTCAATGCCCTGGCTGAGGGAAGAAGGTTCTCACCCAAGATTTGAGGGTACATTGCCCCGTCCATCGTCCCTTTGATGCGGTGCAGTTGTCCGGTCCCTTTAGCAGAAAAACACCCCCAAAGCAGAATGTTTCCACCACCATGTTTCACAGTTGGGATGGTGTTCTTGGGGTCATAGGCAGCATTCCTCCTCCTCCAAACACGGTGAGTTGAGTTGATGCCAAAGAGCTGGATTTTGGTCTCCTCTGACCACAACACTTCCCACCAGTCCTCCTCTGCATCATTCAGATGTTCAGTGGCAGACTTCAGACGGGCCTGGACATGGGCTTTCTTGAGCAGAGGGACCTTGCGGGCACTGCAGGATTTCAGTCCTTGTCGGCGTAGTGTGTTACCAATTGTTTTCTTGGTGACTGTGGTCCCAGCTGCCTGGAGATCATTGACAAGATCCTCACGTGTAGTTCTGGGATGATTCCTCACTGTTCTCATGATCATTGACACTCCACGAGGTGAGATCTTGCATGGTGCACCAGACCTAGGGAGACTGACACTTGTTTTGTGTTTCTTCCATTTGTGAATGATTGCACCAACTGTTGTCACCTTCTCACCAAGCTGCTTGGCCATAGTTTGGTAGCCCAGTCCAGCCTTGTGTAGGTCTACCATCTTGTCCCTGACATCCTTGGACAGCTCTTTGGTCTTTGCCATGGTGGAGAGTTTGGAATCTGATGGTTTGATTGCTCCTGTGGACAGGTGTCTTTTATACAGGTAACACAATGAGATTAGCAGCACTCCCTTTAAGAGACTGCTTCTAATCTCAGCTTGTTACCTGTATGAGAGACACCTGGGAGCCAGAAATCCTGCTGAATGATAGGGGATCAAATCCTTCTTTCCCTCATGAACATGCAGATCAGTCATCATTTGTTAGACGCATTTCTGCTGAATTTGTTGTTGTATTCTGTCTCTCAGTGTTACACCGAAACATTCCATTGTTAGACCGATCATTTCTGTGTGAGGGGCGAACATTCCATTGTTAGACCGATCATTTCTGTGTGAGGGGCGAACATTCCATTGTTAGACCGATCATTTCGAACATTCCATTGTTAGAACCGATCATTTCTGTGTGGGGCGACATTCCATTGTTAGACCGATCATTTCTGTGTGAGGGGCGAACATTCCATTGTTAGACCGATCATTTCTGTGTGAGGGGCGAACATTCCATTGTTAGACCGATCATTTCTGTGTGAGGGGCGAACATTCCATTGTTAGACCGATCATTTCTGTGTGAGGGGCGAACATTCAGCATCAGCCGGGGAGCAAATACGCATCTCCTTCACTGTATAGTGTATGTGGATTGCTTTAACTGGCCATTTGCTTCTCCTGGTGGTGGTGAGATGCCGCTCCTCGCGGTTTGGGGGTGGGGAATCGCCATGCCCATGAATGGGTTACACTGTAGATCTGTCAGCTATGTGGGGAGATGTATCTGACATCCAGTAATCAATCAGATGACACTGCTCCAGCAAGATGCAAATGTGCTTAAGGCATGCTGAAATGATACAGAACAATATGAACCAAAGGCCACTTTAGCATGCCATCAGTGCAGATTAAGGTGCCTTAAAGTACAACTAAAGGCAAGACTTTTTATTTTAGATTTGGAAGGAGTAGTGAAGGGTTAGAACCACCGTCATGTTTTTATTGCTGTCTGCATCCCAGTTAGGGCGCTTTGCTCTCTTCGATTGTCACACAAAATGGAAGCTGCATTGCCGCCAGAACAGGAATAAAGGGAAATCTTCCAATGGGGACGCTTGGTCCTGTGACAACCAAGGAAGATGTTGAGTCTACAAGACAGGAAGTGATGGGAAATCTCCCTGTGGGGACAAGTTTTTAAAAAAAGTTTTTTTTTATACGTTAAGAGCCCACACAGCTTGATCATTTCAGGCCAATATGGCGGCCACTCAGAGGCTGTAAATGCTGCGTCAGGTCGATCGGTTATATTCGCCCCCTGGCAGCGCTGTTTTACTTTTCTGGGTCTCCAGCAGCTCTGAGTTGTGAACTCAAACCCTAAGTACAGCTGAAGGCCCGGCCCGCTCCCCTGCGCCCACTTGGGCCGCGTCTCATCCCTCTCGCCCGGCGTCTGGGGGGCGATGAAGTCACCGCTGTATGTTCCATGTTTCTGCAGCTTTGTTCTCTTGTTCGGTCCGATCTGGGAAGGCAGATTGTGCTTTGGGATCCGGCCAACAATTACAGAGAAAACGCTTTTCCTCTCCCAGTCTGCCCGGACACGTCAGGAGGGGCGCCAGGAATGACATTAACCCATTGGAGGGACCACTGAGGAATGAGGGCAGCTATGAGAGAACTGAGATCCCAGCTCATCACTACTCATACATGTGACATACGTGTGCCTGAATTATAATATGCTATAGCGGTGATGTCACTCCTGTATAATATATCTTATATCCGGAGGCGGTGATGTCACTCCTGTATAATATATCTTATATCCGGAGGGCGGTGATGTCACTCTGTATAATATATCTTATATCTGGAGAGCGGTGATGTCACTCTGTATAATATATCTTATATCTGGAGGGCGGTGATGTCACTCCTGTATAATATATCTTATATCCCTGGAGGGCGGTGATGTCACTCTGTATAATATATCTTATATCCGGAGGGCGGTGATGTCACTCTGTATAATATATCTTATATCTGGAGACGGTGATGTCAC